GTGTCAGCCATTTTGTGTTTATATATGAACCAAGTGATTATAACTCACTGTGACAGCCATTTTGTGTTTATATATGAACCAAGTGATTATAACTCACTGTGTCAGCCATTTTGTGGTTACACCAATGGATTATTACTCACTGCGGCAGCCATTTTGTGATTACACTAAGTGATTATAACTCACTTTGGCAGCCATTTTGTGTTTATATATGAACCAAGTGATTATAACTCACTGTGGCAGCCACTTTGTGGTTACACCAATGGATTATAACTCACTGCGGCAGCCATTTTGTGATTACACCAAGTGATTATAATTCACTGCGACAGCCATTTTGTGATTACACAATAACTTTTTTATACCTCGCTATTAGTCTGTTATTTGGCATGTGGTGTGTCATAAAAACATGTTCTTAGTACGGTTATGGTGTCATTAATTGGACGGAACTTCTTGTAATTATGTATTAATGTTCATTTAGAGAATGTACATTGTGTTCTCACCAGAAAACAGGCAGTTGCTCCATGGAGTATACATTTTGTGAACTATTCCAAGTATGTTCTAAGAATTAATTTCTACCAATACATGCATGACCACTTTGTCTACATGAACACCAGAGTGATTTCTTAAATTCATTATCTTCTGATATGCACTCAGCAGTTATATTTTTGTGAAATGTGAATTAATAATGGAAATAATTATTTCATTAATCAATTTATCTACAAGCAACTGTTTAAAGTATACTTTGCTTTCATGTACACATGTATATCATACTTTTGGTTTACTTTAATTCAGATAAGTTTTGAGTTGAAAATATTGAATATATACCATTTGCCAAATAAGCTAATTTTCCTAAATGAGAGGTAGTAAATACCAGACAATATCTGCTAGTAAAAACCCTCAATTATCATTTATACATGTAACTTTTACATCATAAACACTTTTTCTTTCTTTACCGCTGATGGTATTAGTTAATTACATTAAATTTTAATGGATTGCAGGAAGTCTTTATTGGAAATTGCAGCTTGGTACTGTAAACTGTTATTTTCACTGAAGAGATAACAGTATGGCTGGCTACATGGAATCCCAATATTAAATACCAGCAACACTCGTATTTATTTTTTTATTTTTTTATTTTACAGGTCACTTAAATGAATGGCATTGAATTGGCGTAGTTTACCGCCACCACGACGACAGTCACTGGTCAGTCTTTATCTAATACTTTGTAGTGTCCTATAGAGAAGCATGTTCTGGTACTCCCTCCCATTGTAGTCTGTGTAGCTTAATATTCATGTGGTAAGTTCTAGTGTTAATAGTACCCTTGTGAGTTCTGGGATTCATACTATGCGTTTATTAACCTTTGCAGCCAAGTCATTTTTCTTCACCTTGGCACTAATACACCATTTTCTGTTTACTGCATTATGCATGAAATTAAACGGGGGGGAAAAAAGACAAAAAAATGTCCAAACATCATGTGGGAATTGACAAATGCAAATCTATTTTTAGACTAGAGGTATAACCCTGCTTAATGTGTTACGCATTTCATGATGGTTATTTTTGATGAAGTACCAGTAAGGATATCTCAAAACCATATTTCTCTCTGAAAAAAAAAATCAAATCACTAAATTTTTGCGGTCGACATTCATTCACGTATTTCACACATTAAATCCGCAGATTTGTTTGCTTATTTTGAAAATTATGTATTGTTAGACCTAAATTATACTGATACTTAAAAATCACATCAACATTTCAGTGGGACTTAAGGCTTAGTGTGGTATCCTTTTAACCTTTGTACCACCTGACTTTCTTGCCCAAATTATTCTGCACTTTCTGGAGATGACTCCTGATTTTGGAGCCAACAGACAAAATTGTGGTACATTTTCAGTCTTTACTCAACAAATTTTTCTATTTTTGTCCCAAAATTCTGAAGAAAGACTATAAACTATTTTGTGAATTTGTGATGAGAAGACAAAACTAGTGGTGAAAAGGTTAACTAGGTATAAAATGCAATTTAAGGCAGAACAGTAAGGCAGTACAGGCATAACTTACAAGCCATCAGCTGGATTTCATAAAAAAAAAATCAATAATTTGGACTTTTTCCTAGTACTATTTACCTACATTGTATGTTACTAATCTTCGGGGGCGGAGCTACGTCACAGACGTTCCACGTTGCTAAGACGCGCACCACTGTACCATGCATTTCTATGGGTTCTGTGCACGCTGCTGAGGAACGCGGAATCCCGAGCGAAGAGCCGGTAAAAATTCGAGAAAACAACAGGAACTCAACTTTGAAGTAATCCTGACCAATCACATTTACATGCGTTACACATGTAGGGGTGATCTTGTTACACTGTTCAAGGGAGTCTCAACAACTATTCCAAAGTACCGTTTTCTGAGAGTTTTCGGCCTTTGTTTTCACCGTGATGGTTGCCATGTGGTGAAAATGCCCGGTTGTCCGCGCCTGAGAATATGAGACATATTCAGGCAGATTACTCTACACAGTTTAGATATGCGACTGTTTTGAAAACAAGCTACACGAGTTTAAATCCAGCTGAATGGAAACTTATAAATGCTTGGACTGGACTGTACGTGGCAAATTCAAATTCAATACTACTGATGGGAGAATTGTTGTGTATAGTATGAGATTATTATGAGGATACCTCAAAGTCAATACCAGAGGTCGATGCGGCGGCCTACTGTCTGAGTGCATAGGTATCTTCGTAATAACCTTATTATTATACATCTTTTCCTTCTAAGATTACATCATGGGAATGTCGAAATGCAAAAAGTTTAGAACAGAAACTGTAAACTGGTGGTGTAAACTGGTGCCTGGTGGCAGCCATGTTTGTTTTTATTATTAGAGGATGCTTATGCACATAATCATTCCATATTTAGAATCCGCATTTTCTTATACATGTATGGTAGGATGAAAAAACCCTGTAAAATATCGCAAAATTACGATACGCTGGAACTTATGGCATTACAGTGACAGATGTATAATAGTAGCTACCGGTATTATAACTTTTATCATACTAGAAACTGAAACTGTCAATATTTTGAAATCTTTCAACCATATATCATATATCATTAATAACATACAACTTCTTCATTCCATGTCATCAAGCACAATTTTGAGATGAAGAGATAAGATCACAAACCAGTGTACAAATGACAAATGTTTCTTGACCTTTCTGACTTGACCTTTCTTGACCTGATATTAATCCTTAATAATTAAAGTATTAGGAACATGACATATAATCTTCTATTTTGCTCAAGCCTACATGTACATGTACTTAACGCATTATCATTGGAAAGCCTCCATGGATTCTAGCCATTATTTATTTTTGAGGTTACATGTATCTCAAATGTGAGGACTGTTTTCGAGTCTTGAGAATGGGTTATGTACATACTATGCAATAAAGAAAAATTAGTAAACCAAATGGTTATCCTGTGTTTGAATAATACACTATAAAGTCAAATCATTGTAATATATATTCATATGAAGATACTGCTTTACTAAAGTATCTTGTTTACATGTGCAATGGCCTCATATATTTTCTTGTGATCGCACAACCTTCACCGAGTTCAGCGATGTATACACGGCCATCTGAGAACACTGAGCTCGGCAATGTATACATGGCCATCTGAGGACACTGTGCTTGGCGATGTATACATGGCCATCTGAGGACACTGAGCTTGGCGATGTATACATGGCCATCTGAGGACACTGAGCTCGGCAATGTATACATGGCCATCTGAGGACACTGAGCTTGGCGATGTATACATGGCCATCTGAGGACATTGAGTTCAGCGATATATACATGGCCATCTGAGGACACTGTGCTCGGCAATGTATACACGGCCATCTGAGGACATTGAGTTCAGCGATATATACATGGCCATCTGAGGACACTGTGCTCGGCAATGTATACACGGCCATCTGAGGACATTGAGTTCAGCGATATATACATGGCCATCTGAGGACACTGAGCTCAGCAATGTACATGTATACACGGCCATCTAAGGACACTGAGCTCAGCAATGTACATGTATACACGGCCATCTGAGGACACTGAGCTCAGCAATGTACATGTATACACGGCCATCTGAGGATACTGAGCTCAGCAATGTACATGTATACATGGCCATCTCTGAACACTGAGCTCAGCAATGTATACACGACCATCTGAGGACACTGAGTTCGGCAATGTATACACGGCCATCTGAGGACACTGAGTTTGGCAATGTATACACGGCCATCTGAGGACACTGAGCTCGGCAATGTATACACGGCCATCTGAGGACACTGAGCTCGGCAATGTATACACGGCCATCTGAGGATACTGAGCTTGGCGATATATACACGGCCATCTGAGAACATTGAGTTCAGCGATGTATACACGGCCATCTGAGGATACTGTGCTCGGCAATGTATACACGGCCATCTGAGGATACTGTGCTCGGCAATGGATACACAGCCGTCTGAGGACACTGTGCTTGGCAATGTATACACGGCCATCTGAGGACACTGAGTTTGGCAATGTATACACGGCCATCTGAGGACACTGAGTTTGGCAATGTATACACGGCCATCTGAGGACACTGAGCTCGGCAATGTATACACGGCCATCTGAGGACACTGAGCTCGGCAATGTATACACGGCCATCTGAGGACACTGAGCTCGGCAATGTATACATGGCCATCTGAGGATACTGAGCTTGGCGATATATACACGGCCATCTGAGAACATTGAGTTCAGCGATGTATACACGGCCATCTGAGGATACTGTGCTCGGCAATGTATACACGGCCATCTGAGGATACTGTGCTCGGCAATGTATACACAGCCGTCTGAGGACACTGTGCTTGGCAATGTATACACGGCCATCTGAGGATACTGAGCTCGGCAATGTATACACGGCCATCTGAGGATACTGAGCTCGGCAATGTATACACGGCCAGCTGAGGACACTGCTCGGCAATGTAAACATGGCCATCTGAGGGTACTGAGTTCAGCGATGTACACACGGCCATCTGAGGACACTGAGCTTGGCAATGTATACATGGTCATCTGAGGATACTGAGCTTGGCGATAAATACACGGCCATCTGAGGACACTGAGCTCGGCAATGTATACATGGCCATCTGAGGATACTGAGCTCGGCAATGTATACACGGCCATCTGAGGACATTGAGTTGAGTGATGTATACACAGCCATTCAAGTGAAAAAATTGCTTGCGTCATTGCTCTCAATATTGCTTATATAGGATTGCAGAATAATAAGAGTGCATACTGTTTTTCCCAACAAACAACCCTGTTCTTGGGATTACAGCAAGTGACACCCAGCATTAAATTTCAGGAATTTTTCCAGACTGCACACATCTTCCCTTTATTCTACACTTGCCACATCGGTAACAATGCTCCCACTGGATTCTTACTGCAGGATGTTGAGATGTATGTTGTTTTGACCCATTGTAATTAGTCCCCGTTCGGACGCAGTCCGAAAACGGGGACTTAAGTTTTGCCCTGTGTGCGTCCGTCCGTTCGTCCGTGATCACCTGTATCTCGAACATGCATGGACCGATTAAGTTCAAACTTCACTCATACATCACACATTATATGGGACATATGCACATGCATTTTTTTCATGATCTGATTAACGATAGCCGAATAGCGGCCATTTTAAGGCCGAAAATGCATCAAAATCGCACATTTTCACCATTCCGGACCCGGATCTCAGTTATGCATGGACGGATTTTGTTCAAATTTGGTACATACATTAAACATAATAGGACCTTGATGCACGTCATTTTTTTTTGGATCGGGTTCGAAATGGCCGACTGGCGGCCATTTTGTTTAAAGAATTCA